TCAGGTTTGGAATCCCAGTATTGAGGTGCTGAATGCTGGTCGCTGATGCTTCTAGAGGAGAGAATGTCTCTTCTAGATTCTCTGTGAGATCCCTAAGGCCAGTGTTGACATGCTTAAGGCTTGTGTTGATGGCATCAGTTTGGGATGTTTCCGGGATCATTCAGAATTAATTGACGGGTTAATTTCCTCTGCGGTTGACTTCTATCTGACCTGCATTTCACCTGTCTCAAGTGGCATTTGTATTATAATAGGATTGTAAAGTAAGGCGACCAGACATCCCCCGTTTCAGGGGACAGCCCTCGAATTGTAGAGGCTGCCCTCAGCTAAAATGCATACGGTCTAAATGTTTGTAAATATACAGTAAGGTGACATCAGTGCTAGGTGAGTAGAGGAGAGAGGAGAACTGAGGCATGGAGCAGTGTGCCTGAATAAGATGGCTGTGGATATATCTTGAGGCCAGGGTGAGGCTGTCTCCATCCACCTACTTCACCTCATACTCGACCTGCCTGGCCACCTACCTCCTCATACCTGACTTGTCCATAATGAGCTTCTAGAGAGCCACAGCACAACATCACAACCCCCAATGTCCCCCATATGACCGTTGGTTGCTTTGGTATTGTCCATATTATCCATTTGTTGTCCATGTACTCTAACAATTGCAGCATAAGTAATATATAAAAAAAAAAAACATAGGTGGTCATGGCTAAGGGACCTGGGTAACTCACCAGCAGATGCAACACAATGCCAAGGTCCAGTGAGTACAATTCAGGGAAGAAAGGAGGAATTCAATACTCTGAGCTTCACATATTCCTGCCCTCTGCGGTCTGTGCATCACTTTATTAAATCTCAAGTCACAGGGAGTTCATTCACACCATGTCTGCTGGGCTGCATTGCTTAACACACAAGTATAAAAAAAAGAATTAAGCTAGTGCTAAAGCAGGGGTCTTGAGCAGGGGCCGACTGACCATTTGGAAACTCGGGCACTGCCCGAGGGCCCGGGGTCAGTAGGGGGCTCCATGAGATGCCGCTGGTACCTTTTCCATTGGCTTTTTTGAGTTTGGGCAAGGACACAGGGGCCCCATGATCCCCTATTGCCATGAGTTGTCAGTCCGCCCCTGGTCTTGAGTTAAAATTCACAGAGGTCCAGTCAGTAAAATCTGAATCTCATGTTTGCGCTATAACACATCCCAGTCCTCCCTGTATATCAGTGTCTTCAGTTTACCCTTCACATCAAACCCCTCCTTTACATCACAGTCCACTGTTTATATCAGTTTCTTCAGTGACCCCCCCCCCCCCTTCACATCATGGATCCCTATTTACATCAGTGTCCACAGCGCTCCTTTCACATCATAGATCCCTCTTAACATCAGTGTCCACAGTACTCCATTCACACCATACAGTAGATCCCTCTTTATATCAGTGCCCTCAGCATTCCCCTTTACACCATAGACCCCTCTTTACATTAGTGTCCACAGTGCTCCCCTTCACATCATACAGTAGATCCCTCTTTATATCAGTGCCCACAGCATTCCCCTTCACATCATAGACCCCTCTTTACATCAGTGTCCACAGCGCTTCTCTTCATATCATATGTCACGGAGTGCCGTGCTTCCCACCCCCCCCCCCACCCCCCTTGTGCTTGCTGTCTCCTCCGTGTCACCTCACCCTCCTCCCCCCCCCCCCCTTGTCAGGTCCTCTCACTCTGCCGCAGCCTTTGAAGACTGGCTGTTCAGGATGAGAGGTGTCACCTCACCCCCCCTGACCCCCCTTGTCAGGTACTCGCATCCTGCAGCAGCCTTTGAAGAAAGGCTGTGCAGGATGAGAGGAAAGTGACCCCTGTGGCGGAATTCACACCTCTCCTGGCCATATATAGTTGGGAGAGCAGTGACCCGCCCTGCCAGGGGACGTTGGCACGGTGCCGCCAACCTGTCGCCGTGCCCCCTGGCGGGCACAGTGCGGGCACGAGGCTTCCTGCACCCTGCTCCTGCCGGAGACAAAGGCTGCGCTCTCGAGAGCTGTTATCCTCACAGTAGGGCAGGGGGCAGGAGGTGCTGCAGATCTGGATGAAGGGTGGGAGCTGCCTAGCTTATTATGTTATCAATCAGGTGATTACCAGCAAGTTAACTTGAAAAGACTCCTGCTTTCTGTGCGGATCTGCAGCACCTCCCAGGTGGCAGCCCCATGAGAACACACCCAGCTAATAAGTGACAAAGCTGCAGTCTGGACCAGACTGTCACTCAGTATGGGTCCAAATAACAGTCTGCCATTTAGTGACCCCCTTGCTAAAGCACGTGCCATGGTTGTAGGCAGGTGCAGGGTTTTTCTCCATGCAGTAGGTGGCGATGTGCCATTATACTGATGGAGTGGAATGTGTTACGGGAAACTGTCCCCCCATGGACTCAGTCGGTGTCTTAAAAGGAGCAGCTGTCTGACTGGACAATGCAACCTCTGGTGACCTTCAGTGGCCATCTTGGGGGAGGTAACCCTTTTAAATAAGGGTCTCTCCCTGCTTGTGAGGGACAATTATTTAGCTCAGGGACATTTTCCTTTCAAGGAGGGAAAGTTTAGAGAAGGCTCCTTCTGCATGTTACACACTCCGGTGTGCTTTGTGGAGACAAGGAGTGCAGACTAGAGGAACATTCTCTACTCACATGCAGGAGGGATACCACCAGGGGTGGACTGACAACTCATGGGACCCCGGGCAATAGGGGATCATGGGGCCCCTGCGTCCTTGCCCAAATGAAAAAAACCTATGAAAAAGGTACCAGGGGCATCTCTAGGGGCCCCCTACTGACCCCGGGCCCTCGGGCAGTGCCCGAGTTTCCAAATGGTCAGTCCGCCCCTGGATACCACCCTTGCTAAAGGGAGCCATCCGCTGGTAACCTATACTGAAAAGTTGGGAAACTAAGTGCTTTGAACTGTTTATATCAGTGCTGAAGATCCATTTGTTACTGTGCACCACTGTGCAAGAGTTATATTATTTTATTTTATTTATGATGTTAAGATGTTATCACAATACTCATCACTACAGAAAGAAAAAAAAAACATTTTCCTTTTCACATTTCCCCAGAACCCTTTCCCCCAATCCCTACCCTCCCCCCTATCCACCCTTGCCTCTATTGGCTCCCATTTCTTTTCCCTTTATCTCCCAGTTCCTCCTCCTCCCTTATTACTCTCGGGACTTTCTTCTTCTTCCTTTCCTCCTGTCTCTCATTTCCCAGCTTTTTTATACATGCCCTCTCTTCTTTTCATTCTCTATTCCTGCCAATTCAACATATTTAGTTGATCTTTTAAACTCATTCCATTTTTCCCATCTTTTTTTTAAATCTCCATTTTATCTTCTTCAATGTGGTAGAGTTCCTCCATCCTATAAATATAGTCTATCCTATTTATTCAATCCTTTATTTTTGGTGCCTCCTGTTCCAGCAAAGGTATCAATACCTTTGCTGCATTTATTAATTGGAATATCATCAAATTTTTATATTTTTCTACTATAATCTCAGTTTTATTGAAAAGCATATGCCTGGATCTTTTAAGATATTAGTCCCCAAAATCTCCTGTATTTGGTGAATTATTTCTTTCCAATACTCCTGCATTTTAGAACATTTCCACCATAAATGTTCCATTGTGCCCTTAATCCCACATCCCCTCCAACATATAGGTGATTTCTCTGCTTGTTGCATGTGTGCCACACTTGGTGTATTGTACCACCTAGTTAAACATGTATAGTTCATTTCCACCACCTTCATGTCTATAGCCCTGTGCATTCATCTAAATATTTTCTTTTTTTGTTGCTCGTTAAATGATATTCCGAGTTCCCTTTCCCATTTCTCCATGTACGGCGAGGAAGTTGATCCTGCTATTGCAGTAAGGATTTTATAGATACGGGAAGTACCATGTTTCCGTATCTTACTTGCACTAAACAGTTGTTCAGATGGATTCAAATCCTCCATTGTTCTTAGCGACTTTGGGAGCATTGCAACAAAGTGTCTTAATTGAAAATATCACCACTCATCTAACATAAAAAACTCCTCCTTCTTATTTTTTAACTCCTGAAAGGAGCATATTTCTCCTCTATTCATTATATCTTTTACAGTAACTGTGTATTCCCTTTTCTTATCCATTAACCCAAAATATTTTCTTTCCCTGGCGGGAAGAAATCTCTTTCCAACAAGCAGGATTAACATTGATATAAACTCCCAACCCATTTGTTTGTGAAATACCTCCCAAATCCTAATTACATTTCATAATGGCTGGTGACACACGCTGCGGGGAGGACACAGTGGGATCGTAGGACAGGTGAGTGTCTGTATTTTTTGTAGTTTTTGCAGCTGCTGACTTTTATTTTTTCACAGTGCGACTGGAACTCTGCTTTATCTGCAAAGCGTAAACGGACCCTTTACATGTTGGCTTCTGCTACATAAAAAAATAAAAATGCAAACAAAAAAGCAAAGCATAACAAATAAAAATGATGTTTCAGTGTGCGGCAACACGTGCTAAAAGCATTGTATGTGATGTGAATGCAGCCTGAACAGATGTGAGCTGTACGCACAGGCACTTGGATATAATGTCGTCATTGTCCTGCGACGTTTCTGTGGTGGAGATGGGTGGGTGGTGACACAGACAAGCAGAGTGAGAACAAAATGAAAGCAATTTGAGAAAGGAGAGGAGCACTAAGGAAATGAAACTGAGGTGGGGGCAGGGAACTTGTAATGTCAAGGCGTAGCCAACAGCTTCCAACCCCCAGCTTGTAAACACTTGTCCACACCAAGCTGCAGAGTGCCTGTAATCATAGGGACTGCAATGTGATCAGAGCCCCCAGTCCAGGAATCAGACATATATACTGTATATAAGAAGCTCCACTACTCATCAGACTGTCACAGATTATTGCTGTTCTCAGGAAACAGGATCAAGAAGAAGAATTCTCCCTTCCATAGACTGTCGTCTCCTATGTGACCGGTTATTCCTCATTATCTGGCAGTCTAGTGTCATCGGGGGATATGGCGAAGTGGTTGTTGATTTACACATATGGCACCCTGTCTTTATGTCTGCTCATCATCAGCATTGTGCTACTGGTAGCCCACACCTTCATGGAGATGGTGGAAACCCAGGTCAAGAAGGTAAGTGGTTTGTCTACTGTGTGATTGTTCAAAGCCGACCATAGACATAACAATGTCTGTACAATATCCTCAACGCTCCCCACACACATTCCAATCTGAATGTAGATCTACAGGCCTGCCTGATTGGATGCATTCAAGAAATCCTTTTATTACGTTGTTTTCCTAAATCTAACAGTAATCATACACTCTTCAATAAATGATCAATTTTTTGTCTGATTAATATCTTCAATTAGGAATAATTGATCTATAGTCCGAAACCCATTTGATTAATATACCACACTTGGGGAATAGGGTTTCCACCTCATCCCTTTAACCCTAGGTTCACACCTAAGGCTGGCCATACATCATACAATTTTCATTAGAATCTTGCTTTAGATTTACCAAAAACCATATAATACGAGGTCAAACCTAAACAACACTTTCAGTTCTATCCAATTAGGCCGGCCCTTCTACTACATAGTTGAAGGTAAATCTACAGGAAATTGGACAGAAATTTGTAAGAAAATTGTGTAGTGTATGGCCAGCCTAAGCGGTTTCTGCAGTGTTTTGCAGAAATGCACTACAGTCCATTTAACATGATTTCCTATGGGACATGTTCACATCTCCATGTTTTCACCTGGTGCATTTTTTGGAAAGGGGTCAGGGACTTTTTTAAATGCAAAAAACTGCGTTTTTGGTTCTATAGACTTCAATAGAAACAGTGCAGAAAAGCATGTAGTGCATTTTTGCATTTAAATCTGCCTAGCAACAAGGGAAAAAAGCGTATCAAAAGTGCATTAAAAACGCATGTGCAAAAACGCAAAATGCACTGCAGAAACAGATCAAACGCAAACTGCATAGGTGTGAACCTAGCCTAAAACCGAACACCTTAATTACGTAGGTTCTGTGACTGACTAAGCTGGTAATTAAACTCACTTTGTGCCTTATCTGCATTCAATTAGCCTCAGAACCTGTGTAATTAATGTGTTCGGGTTTAAACCTGGGTTCACACTGATGCAGTGCAAAATTTGCATCGGTTTCTGTGCGATATCCGCATCATAATTGCACCCCGTTCACACGGACCATTGCGGGTGTGTATTTTAAGTTAACGACAAACCAAAATCAGTTCGCAAAACGCGGTGCGATGTGCAGAATCGGACCACATGGGTGTGAACACCCAGTGCGATCCGATTCTGGAGTGGACTAAAAAAGGGTCCTGCACTTTTTTGGTGCGGATGCAGTGCGATTTGAGCCATTCAAAATGTATGGTTCAAATCGCACCGCACAGAAATAGCATGTGATTTGCACAGGAATGAGGTGTGGTTCCTGTGCGAATCACATGCGATGTGCCGCACCGCATCAGTGTGAACCTGGGCTCAAGGGATGAAGTGGCAACCCTATTGGGGAAGTAGATTTTGATTGATAGGTAAGATACCATCCTAACTGACGATGATAAATTATCAGTCAAATCTCTGTTTCCACCATACACGCTCATAATCTGATCAATGGAAATACGACTGTATTTAGGAACAAAGTATCTCAGTCCTGCTGATCAAAGCCAAACAATTGATTGTTTTCCACTCTGGCCAATTAACTCAGTTTGATCAAATGTGAGTTTAAACAATCAGAAGGCAAGTTATGGCTTTTCAGTCATTTTGAGCAAATCACACATCAATCAGATAATAAAACCAAAGCATGTATGACCACCATAAAGCAGATTGTGCAATCAAATTGTAACATGCATGGTGAGCTTTAGGTTTACAAGCAACTGTAGTATAGGGACCTCTCTGATTGGAAAGAAATTGGGGGGGATTTACTAAAACTGGTGCAGTTGTACATGGTAGCCAATCGGCTTCTAACTTCAGCTTGTTCAGTTAGGCTTTACAATAAAACCTGGAAGCTGATTGGTTTTTTTACAGAGCTGAACCAGATTTTGCACGCTCCAGTTTTAGTAAATAACGCTCATTGAATTATTTAGGTAGGCCTTGAGATTACATAGGTTTGAGAACACTTTATATGGGCAGCACAGTGGCTTAGTCATCTGATCTGGTTTCTATTAACAGGATTGGGCAACGATCCTATGACTGTTGGTAGTACGCGACAACTCTAAGCCTGAGTTCACATACATGAGGTGCGGTATGTGATTCGCACAAGAACCGAACCGCACTCCTGTGCAAAACTCGTGCGATTTGTGTGTGGTGCCTTTGGAGCCATACATTTTGTATGGCTCTAATCGCACCACACCAAAAACCTTTTTTTTGGTCTGCACTAGGATCGGATTGCATGGGTATTCACACCTATGCGATCCAATTCTGCACATCAAACCGCGTTTTGCGGACCACTTTTGGGGTGTTGTTAATTTAACATACACACCTGCAGCGGTTCGCATGAATTGGGTGTGATACTGACTGGGTGCGGAATCGCGCACAGAAAACGCTGCAAATTCTGCACCGCATCAGTGTGAACCAGGGCTGAGTGATCATTCTTGAGGAAGGAAATGATCAGGAAAGTAGAAAAACCCTGCCTAATCACTTTCACTTTCCTCTGTGTCAAGTGTGTCAAGTGCCTGTGCATGCATTTCCGCACCAACTGCGTGCGTTTGGTTTATTTAATCTCAGAAGAAATTATCTGGGAAAACTAGACAAATGCTCTTCTTCCCAGATCAGGTCCTCCTGCAAATATACTTGTGCTTGCATGCATTTAGCCACATTCAGAGATTCTAGTCTACCCCTGGAGTTCTGTTTCCTTTAAATGTAGCTAAACTGAATGCACTTAAATGCACATGTGAAATATATAATTGACCCTAGGTTCACATATGTGCGTGTGGTGCCGCTGCGGATCCACATGAAAATCCATGCAGCCGCATCATCCACACAGAGAATTGCAGACCCGCCAGGTAGTTTTAATGGCACGCCGCCCGCACTGGAAAACGCAAATGTGCTGGGAACCGAGGTTCCCATGCGGGCTGCGTTTTCCAAAGAAGTGCAGGGACTTCTTTTCCTGTGTGTCACTGACAAGAGAGGCTATTCAAATGACTGGGCTCTCGTGCCCCTGCAAAACGTGGCTCGCACGGTCGCATAGATGTGAACCGGGGGTTAGGGCTCATGCAAACAGGTGCATTATTTTCATGTTGGATGTTGCTGGCAGCATGATCCTAAATTAAAAGCCGTGTACAGGGTGCAACAACATAACTCCTTTTTTCAAAACGCAATAAAACCCATTTTATGAATCAGAATTGTTTTTATTGTCTTTAATAAAGTAGGTACATATCTAAAGTTCTGTTTTACACAGTTTTGAAAATCATATCAGGTAGGTGACGCCCCCCATTGTCCATACACTGAATAAGCCGATTTCTGGCGTTTTTCATGACCCTTACCAGCATAGCAGCGGGTATGTTGGCAATTTCTGCGCGGATGTTGGCCTTCAGGTCTTGTAGGGTCCTTGGATGGTTTACATAAACGCCGGATTTAAAAAAAAACCCACGAAAAAAGTCGCAAGGGGCCAAATCGGGGGAGCGGGCTGGCCACTCCAAATCGCCCCTTATTGAGATGAGGCGCTCCGGGAAGTGTTCCCTTAAAACAGCCATTGATGCTCTTGAAGTTTGAGCCATTGCTCCATCCTGTTGGAACCAAATGTCCCCTAAGTCCAATTTATCAAGTCGTGGAAAAACAAATTCCTCCAACACGTTCACATACCGGTCTGAATTCACTTATTCAGTGTATGGACAATGGGGGGCGTCACCTACCTGATATGATTTTCAAAACTGTGTAAAACAGAACTTTAGATATGTACCTACATTATTAAAGACAATAAAAACAATTCTGATTCAGGGTTGACATGTCAATATTATTAATGTGGTGCCAGCGCTGCTGATTACACACCATTGATGTTTATATCTTCCCCTGAATGAGATATCTCCACTGACGACTACTGTACCCGCAGCTGCCTGAATACCCAAACAGCAGCTACATCTGATAGGATGCAGCCGCTGTTCAGACCATAATTTTCTACCTGGCTCAGCTGATTTTTAAATCCACTTTTGCCAAGCCAGGTGGGGCTGACAGGACCACTCACAGCTCAAATTTTGGTTGATTCTAAAGGAATCCAAAATTCAAGCCATCTTACCTAGTTTTACAACATCTCCTCCGCTTAACTAATTTTACATTGTAGCACTTGGCGCTATAGTTGAGCCTCGGAGCAAGCATTGTAGAAATAGTCTGAGAAGAGGGAAGTAGGTGTCAGTGTGGTGTTGTAGTTCATACTCGCACCCTTGCTATTGGGTCTGCAGTGTGCAGACAATCAGAAGCTGTCCTGTGCGCCTGCACACAGCAAAGCCATACCTTCCAACTGTCCCTGATTTCGAGGGACTGTCCCTCATTTGCAACATAGTCCCTCTGTCCCTCCTTCCTCCTCATTTTGATCTAATCTATTATATAGTTCTATATAAAATTCCCTATTTATCTTTCAAAAAGTGTTTCCCAGTGCTAAACCTTCCATCCAGTTTCTAAATTGTTGCATTTGTACACTTCAAAAGCCAATATTTAAAGGAAATGTAGTGGTTAAAAAAAAAGCACTTGTGGGTTTAATCTTTTTTTTTTTTGTATAGTTCTCCTTTAACCACTTCAAGTCCAGACACTTTCACCCCCTTCCTGTCCAGGCCAATTTTCAGCTTTCAGTGCTATCACACTTTAAATGACAATTGTGCGGTCATGCAACACTGTACCCATATTCATTTTTTAGCATTTTTGTGAGACAGATAAAACTTTATTTTGGTGGTATTTATTCATCACTGGGATTTTTATTTTTTGTATATAAATGAAAAAGTCCAAACATTTTGAAAAAAGAAGTGTTTTTCTTATAAAATTTTGCAAATAAATAATCTTTCCTCATAAATCTTGGCCAAAATGTATTCATCTATCTTTTTAGTAAAAAAAAATAAAATAACCCACATTAGTTTATAGCCAAAAATTATAATTTTTCAAAAAAGTTTTTACATTTTTTTTATATTTATGTTTTTGGGTTTTTTTAAAAACATACTGTCACCTTAGCAGTACAGTGTCACCATAGTGACACTGTACTACTTGTGGGGGTGATGAAGATTTGTTTTTCTTTTTTTACACTGATTGCTTTTACAGCCTTTATGGGTGTAAATACAATAATTTCTCCTTCTCTGGCTGCATTCTTGCAGCCATTGAGAAATACTATGAGAGCTGTGATTGGTCACAGCTTGTCACATGGTACAAGGCTGTTGTGAATAGCCTTGTACCATGTGATCTCTGTGATCATTCACAGATTTCACAAGTAGTAAGCAATGATGTCAGGAAGTTACATTTTGTTTACTACTATTCATGTGATCACTGATTGGCCAATCAGTGATCACATGAATCGGGATCTCACACAGAGGTCTCGTACAGTGATCTGTGTTCCGTTGTGTCACACCGATCGCGTTGCCGCGTGCTCCCAGAGAGAGAGCACAGACAATGGATGTGGGGGGGATATTTAGAAACATCCCCCCGCATCGGCAGCGCTCCCGTCCGGACACTTATCGACATGGGCCAGAAGGGAAGAGGTTAAAAGGGTGTTACGGGGGGGTGTCCTATGCCCACATACATTTGTTAATAGGTGTCCCTCATTCTCATCTCAAAAAGTTGGGAGTTATGAGCAACGTTACTAAAATGCTACTACAAGCCGGCACAAAGACGTTATTCACGTTTTTCATCCAGCGTTTTTGTTTTGTTTTTTTAGCGTATAAAAAAACATTAGTGTGCTTGGAGCCTAAAACTATTTATATAGAAGTGCAAAATCTGAATAAAAAAGAAAAGGCTATTTTTAGGCCTAACACGGAACTTCAATCTCTTAATCAACATTGACTATTTTTAATCCCTATATTGCTATAGCATTAGTAATAATATATAGGAAGAAATATTACATTTACTTGTTTTAAACTTTTTTTTTTTTCTTTTACATTCCTTCTGTTACAGTACTTCCTGGTTTCTGGCCTAGGTAAATGATCTCATACATCCCAGGAGTCTTTAAGAGGGGAGGAGGGGCTTTCTCAGCTAAGCACACCCTCCTGCCTGTATGTCTGAGCTAAGGGCAAATGGATTCCAGGAAGTAAATGCTACATGAATCATGTGCCCTTACTCAAGATGGCCACAGCTAGAAATGCTAGGGGGTGTTTTTCAAAGTGATTTCTAAGCAAAATAAAGCATGGAGACATGGATTGATGGGGGTTTGCTGTCCATTTCATAAATTAATTAAACTTTTTTTTTTTTTTTTGGTTTGTGGCGCTTAAATGCAGTGGAGTTCCTCTTTAATAAATGGGGTGCATTACTGTCTTGGGAGTGCACATGGCTTTTACATGGTTTGTATTAATCCAATCCAAAGTACTACATTAACCATTTTACTGTTTGTCAATCTCTTCTTTCAGGCCACAGTACTGAAAAATGGAACAGATGCCTATAGTGCTTGGGCTGATCCTCCTCCTCCCATCTACATGAAGTTCTACTTTTTCAATGTTACTAACCCACAGGAGGTTTTGGATGGAGAGAAGCCTGTTGTGGATGAAATTGGACCTTATGTTTACCGGTACGGCATTCAGATATATACTATTGTTTTAGGATGCATTTGTGCATTAGTTTATATTATACAGAAATACTGTCACTAGTATCGTATTTTTTTCAAACACATTGCTGACATGAGCATGGCTCTGGATGCAAGGTAATGCAGAAGAAGGTGTAAGTGTGGTGCAAAAAAAAAAATGCACTTGTAGTATTGGAAGAAAAAGGTAATATTTCTATTAAATTATTAGAAGTGACCTTTTATTTCTAACACCGTTAGTTAAAAGATTGTTAAAAAGTTACGCCACTCTTGGTAAGGGAAAAAAATCTCCTCTGAGTGATCTGTATACATTGCAAAGATTTCAACAAACTTTGTTGCAGATTCCTACATTTTGTTATTCTGAACAGAGAGCTGTTTGTTTGTTTGTGTCCATGTACAAAGTGAACATGAATGGAGTTAATTATATAATATTTATTATTATTATTGATAATAATTATCAATCGGATGCTGCACTTGCAGGACTCTAATGGGGAAAGTAGCAAGGTCTGAATCCCTTTAAATGTGACTACTGCTTTGGGAGTGTCTAACAAAACTGAAATTAGGTAGATGATGCCTAAAATCTGATTTATATCTTAGTTCAAACTTCTGGGAAAATCAGAGAGCCAATCACACAAGCAGTGTGTGTGTGTGTGTGTGTGTGTGTGTGTGTGTGTGTATATATATATATATATATATATCTATCATTTTTTATTTCTTTTTTAATTTGCTATATTTTTTTTTCCCACTTAACTGGAGTTACCCTTTAACCCTCTTTGTATTGCACAGGAAGGTCTTCCTTATCGATTGTAACTAGATTGGTATGAATTAAGACTTTGGATGATTTATCTATATGTATATGTCCTCTCATTTAAAGTCCCACTATTTTCTCGATCTTTTATGACCCATTTTGGGCTCGGGGAGACCCTTTTGCTGTAACTAGACTCGATCACTGTTGAGGGTTAGAGGTTTAGGGGTTGGACTTTATGTATGTTAATGAGAACAGACTTGGGATAAACTCACTGTAAAAACTAATTTATTCTGGCTATTGAAATGAAGGGACGCCAAGCACTTGATGCGCCTAGCACTTGAACATGATTACACGTGTTTAGGCGCATAAGGCATTTTTGCCGGCCAAAACGCCAGTGCTGAACGCTCTTGAAGTGGGTTTTTTCTGCCTCAGATCACCCTGCCTCTAAATGTTTGTAAATGTCTGTGTGCATGTATACCTAGGCTAACATTGAGGGGTGTTTTGAGGAAGAAATAAAAATGCAAGATGACTCAAAAAGGTGCCATTTAAAATGCCCAGTGTGAGACCTAAAGCTGAAATGTTTTCTCCTAAAAGCTTACTTTAAGTTAGAGGATACAACAGATGACATGGCTATTATAAACACAAGGAAATAAAGAAGGGATATTACAGTAGTTAAGAAATACATCATTATCTGCTAGTGGGATTTTCCCAATATTCCTATGAAGTATCCAGAAGAGGAAGAGTATCACTGTTGTGCCAATGGCCAACATCTGGTCCACAGAATAACCTAAATTGAAGTGTGTTTTTTTTTTTTTTTTTTTTTTTTTCTGCCTCTGATCGCCCTGCCTCTAAATGCCTGTAAATGTCTATGTGTGCATGGATACCAAGGCTAACATTGAGGGGTGTTTTTGCGGCAGAAATAAAAATGCAAGATGCCTCAAAAAGCGCCATTTAAAATGCCCAGTGTGAGACCTAAAGCTGAAATGTTGGCTCTTAGAAGATAATCAACCCCACGTTTGTTTTTCTCCTAAAAGCTCACTTTAAGTTTGAGGATACAACAGATGACATGGCTATTATAAACACAAGGAAATAAAGAAGGGATATTAGTTGTTAAGAAATACATCATTATCTGCTAGTTAAATTTTCCCAATATTCCTATGAAGTATACAGAAGAGGAAGAGTATCACTGGAGTGCCAATGGTCCACATCTGGTCCACAGAATAACCTAAATTCCTTGTGTTGGGTACATTGTAAAGCTGCTAAGCTTGTGTAACATCAGATTGCCTAGAGATTCCTTTTTCTTTTCATTGGATGTGTGGTTAAAAGCACCTAGTGCAAACTTCCATCTTCCTTGAAATTTCCTAGAAATATCAGATTCAGCCACTGCATTTTGGGGTAAATCTCAAACCTCAGGGTTATCTTCTACTACATGATCCATTTGATACACAGATATAACTTTTACCATATTTTACCATCCTGTTAGATTGAATTGTATGGATTACTAATGAACTTTAGATACTACTACCAATGCCTTTTATATGCTAATAATCACTTTTAGTTCATTATATATTCAATTTTTATTGTACTTTGATTTTCAGGCCTTAAGAAGGGGGGCTCCTTCCCCCAAAATATGTTTTCTGTATTTGATGTTCCTAACACAAATATTCTAAACCAATGTTAAGTGAAATGGAAGTTTGTACTAGGTGCTCCTAACACACACATAAGTTGTTCATCTGAGTGTTTTGACTGTTGTGACCAGAGAGACAGCAGCCTGGCCAATAACCAGGTCCTTGACTTTACCATAACAAAACTCCAGCAAGGAAAATGCACCTTCTCTTTTATTCATTTTAACTAACCTCTACTCCCATCTGTCCAGTGCTATCACACACTTATAAGACCTTCCTCTTTTCTCTATCTCTGAAGTTTCATAAGACTTAAACCACAGAGCCATTAGTGTGCAGCCAGAACTGTGGCAGAGGTGAGCATACGCTTTTCACATCCCATGACCAGCGTACCAGAATGATTGGCCAAGATGAATCACAATTTGCAGTAGGCAAGCCTTGGATCTCTTACCAATTAAGCACTGAAAGGTTTACAAATTTCACTTACTTTACACAGTTAAGTACAGCTTTTCTCAACATTTTCAACACAGAGGAGCCCTTTAAAAAAACTTTCCAGCGTCAGGGAACCCATGGTAAAAAATGACTATATCTAGAACTACAGTAGCGTGAAGGTCAGTTGGAAGAATGCTCCTTACACTTGTAGTCAATGGGAAAAATTAGCCCCTTATAGATAGCTAAAAGGATCAATGGTGTCAGTAAGAACTTTTATGAAAGTCAGAAATTGCTCAAGGAACCCCTAGCAACCTCTGGAAGAACCCTAGGCTTCCATGGAACCCTGGTTGAGGAACATTGGTTTAGTATGTAAAGAAAATCTTTTTTTTTTTTTTTTCATTTACAGGCATTCTATAGTCACCACATACATTTTCATTTTATAGAATCAGCATTGTAATAGCAACATAAACAAAAGCTATTTTTGACTATCCAATACAAGCTTACTAGAAACATTTCCTTTCATGTTGTGAGTTCTACCTGTCTGGTGCCATTTCTTTCCACAACTTCCTGGATTCCCTGCATGCTTTGCAGCTTTTCCTCTGCTGTTTACATTCAATTTCTAAGGACTACATATCCCATGGTACCTTGTTCCTGCAAGCAGTGATTTCTGTGCTGACTCCACCTCCTGAAACTCCTCCTCTCAGCACATCTGTAGTTCAGAAGGCCGGCTCTGTAAAATGTGTGACACAGCAGTGTCTACTCACAGGACATAGTGAATGTGATTCTTCACAAAGTCATTTTACAAACTTCAAGTTTAATCAAAAATAATAGGAGTAGGCTAGAAATAATAGAAATTCAATGTGAAAATAAATTAGATTTTAAATTTCGACATTGGACCATTCTGTATATTTAAAAGGGAGCACTAATAGTTTTGTTTAGTAGTAAGTAAGTAGTACGTGCATGTTAATCTTTTAGAAGCCTTGTTTCTAGGTAAAGTTCTTAATTATATGTACACAGAGGCGGATTTATTTTCTGTATACAGGCTCTGTTTCCTGTTTGTACCTGCTGATATTGTTATTTTACTTCATAACTGATTGAAAACAATAGATTTCTAGCAGACCCTGACCAGAAAAACATTTAGTGCCCCTAGTAGTCGGAGACCATGCCATTATACAACCCACTTCTACATGAGACAATTGCTAGCCCATATCTCTTTTTAATTAAAGATGTAAAAGTATTGGGTACATTTTTACACTATGTTGAACCTGATATATAGGCTCCATAATCAGCAAAGACTAAGTAGATTCGTACCACACCGCCAAGGGTGTGATAATGCTGTGCTACTAACACACCTAGTGCATAGGCAATGCATTCCTATGTATCTGCTTTTTGCTATATATTCGTAAGGCCTTTGATACAGTCTCCTAGTCTTACCTGAACTCTATCTTGGACAGATTGGGCTTCGATCCTAATTTTTTTTAACGTGGGTCTCCTTCTATCAGCACCCACAAGCATATATACAGTACATGGGTTAAAAGTCCCAACTGCTCAATGAAAGCTTGACAAACCCGACAGGGCTGTCATTTGTCTTCCCTACTATTTGCATTGACCATTAAGCCCTTGGCTGCCCTGATCCAATCTAATCCCATATCCGAAGTATTGAGCTGGCTGGCCACCAACACAAATTATATTTATTTGCCACTGATGTCCTTCTCTTCCTCACCACATCTGTAGTGTTGACACCAAATTTGCTTTCTATTTTGGATCAATTTGCTCACATTTCAGGACTAAAGATTAATCAAAAGAAGTTGCTGGCGCCTAATGTTATCCCCTCCTGAACTGGATGCAAGTCACTTAAAGGCTACCTTTCCATTAAAGTGGGTTCCCTTTAGGCATGCACCGAAATTTCGGTGGCCAAAATGTTTCGGCCGAAAACACCCCTTTCAGCCATTGGCCGAAATGGGGAAAAAAAGCACCGATACAGGTGCTGAAAAAAAACCTCGCCCCTCACCGTCTCCCGCCCGTTGCTGCCGCCACCGGCCACCGCTTGGTAGTTATCAGCCTTTCATGAGAAACCATCGAACGATCCCAACGCTGAGCATAGAGATGAGTGAAGGAAAGATGGCCTCCACTCATCTCTATGCCCTTGGAGGAACAGAGCGAAGTCACTTCTGGTTCCGGCCATT